TTTTTATTTTTATTTTTATTTTTATTTTCATTTTCATTTTTTTTCTTCTTTCTTCCATCTCTTATATTTTCTTGTTCATGCATTCGGGACAATGCATTATTTTAAGTTGGGGGGTGTGAGGTTCTTTATTTTCAAAAAAAAAAAAACATCAATGTTTTCTTTTATGTTTTCTTTTAGTTGTGATATGCAGGTTAAAAAAAAAATCAAGCAAGAAGTCAGCTCATGCCCAATTCAATCAGACATTCATCCTTGAAAACAGAAGGGGAGTAACAATTTTCTAATCTTTATACTTTTCTTCTCTTTCTCTTTTTGATTGAGGATAATGTAAAACTTAATTTTAGATATTTCATTATGTTGAATGCTTGAGATAACCATGCTTGTTAAAAAAAAAAAAATACTTGCATTGGTATGTGAATGAGACTTGTTTAGGATCATCATTACCTTTTTGGGTTCATTATTGTGTTGAACATTGCATGCTTTAATTTGGGATAGATAATATCTTATAAAGCAAGATATATCATACTTTTTTTTAAGATTACTGAAGTACATCTTTCCTTGTAAAAGTTGTGTGAGTTGTGTGAATATGCATGAAAGATGAGTATGATGCTTTACTTGTGATTATCCCTTTTGATCTAGTCCTAAACAAGGTTTAAGTAAATAGAGTAATAATCATTACATAAATAAATAAATAAATAAATAAATAAATAAATAAATGTGTACAAAGTTCTATCTACTCCAATGTTTTAAGTTGCTCAGTAACTAGGGGTATTCATCACAAATTTTTATCTTTACGTCAAACGGCAGCTTGAAATATGAGTATGCAAAGCACTTTAAGTTTGTGACTTTGTGAGTAACCGGGTGCATTCATCACAAATGTTTGTATTCGCGTCAAAAGGGAAGTGACAACTTAAAGACAAAGAATAAATCATATCTTCAAAAAAAAAAATAAAAAAAAATATAGATATTTCTCTAGCTTGCTACCTTGTTTGTGTTGGTGAGAAGGGAAGATTACAAGTTGAGTTTTCATATGAATCAATTATGTTGGTTGCACGATAAATATGACTGAATTTGGAAATTTTATATGGATGTTTGATTTAGAGAATATGAGTATGCTTATTTTTCTTTATTTGCTATTGTGTACACTAAGTTAAAGATACCAATGTTTGCATGATAAGTCCTTCAAGTGTGATGAATCGAGTCTAATTATGGTTGTTATTATTATTATTTTTATTTTAAAGGTTTTATGTTTTCTTTTGCTTGAGGACTAGCAAAATCTAAGTTGGGGGGGTGTGATTGTGCATCAAAAGTGTCATTAAGTCTCTTATTTTATATATGTATTTATTGTTTTTATTTGGTTGTTTTTATAATAATTGATGTGTTTTTTAGTAATGAAGTTTGTTTTAATGTTTCGATAGGTTTTTGGAGCTTAAATGAATTAATTCAGAAAATTCAACGTCAGAATTCAGAACAAAGAATTGAAGAGACATTTAGTTGAAGATTGAAGCAAATCTTGGTTCAAATAAGTGCTCCAAATTTGTCCCAAAAATCAATTCTATTCCAATTCTAGAAAAGAATATCATATGATTTATTTCAAGCCCAAACTTGCCTTATGTTGTGTGCAAACTTCAACCATTAAACACTCAAGGTTTCAATGTCAATCTTAGCCCAAATAATAAGTACATTTGTATACTTATTTGATGCTCAAATTCAGCCCAAAATCAGCCCCAAATCAACCTTCAAATCAACCCAAACACAATCCATGATCTTACATGTCCACACAACAAATAACAATTGATTTATTTTGGGTAATCCATTTATCCAAGAAGGCAAACACATGGATGGAAAGCTGGAGGGGATATTTTAACATTATTTTGGGTCAAAAAGAAGAAGGAGACACCTCATAAATGAGGAAGAAAAACGTGCACCAAAGTAGTTGTAAAGCTGTCTTGATTTGATTTTTCAGAACACCTTTTGACGTTTTGCCCATAACTTTTCACCCAGGTGTCAAAATGAGTTGTCCTTTAATGATCTGGAAAGGTGACAGAATTCCCTATAAATATGTCTCTAATAGACTTCTCTAAAAAAAGCTTCTAAGAGGGTCGAATTGCTGTCCAAAGTTAGAGTCAGATTTGTGTCCGAATTTTTTCTGAAATTGTATTATGTTCTTCTTTATAGATTTTGGTTCTTTAGTTTGTAAAACTTATTATTTCAGTTGGATTCAAGTTCTTTCATGTTTATTGAAGTGTTCTTATATATAATCATGGTTGGCTAAACTCTTTCTTGGATCCAAATCAAGGATAATGGTGATTGAGGTGAGTTCTTTAGGATATGAATGAATCTTAATGTTTATCTTCTTATTTTCTTCATGAATGATTTATTATTGTAAAGAAATTTTAGAAATCATTTAGGTAATGTTATAATCTTGAATTTTTATGCACAAACTTTAGTTTTGGTATAGAGATTGCTTGATTCAATGTCTTACTTAATATGAAAGTACTTCATTCTTAAGCAATAATCAATCTTCATCTTTCTAATCTTCATTGTAATATCTTCTGATCTAATATCATCATCGTTGATATTAGGTTGAGTTATCTTATATATGTTGAAGAAATCACCAATACATCACCATTAAAATTGATTTGGACCAAGACTTACTTTTTCTTGTCATTTAAAATCTATTTATATTTTTTTTATCTTTAAAAACAAATCCATCAATTATTTTCAACCAAGTTATTGTTAATTTAATTTCTCTTGAGTTTTTTTTGTTACTTAGCTTAATTTCCAGATCTAGCTCTCTGTGGATATGACCTCGATCTTACCGAGTTAATTGCTACATCGCACACTCGTGTACTTGCGAGTTAAAACAAGCCGATCATAAAAAGCGGTCAAGCACCTATACTAGCCACCGCCCCCTCAACACTTTTTCTTCCCAGTCTCCCTCGACTTCACCTTCAGCAACCACACGCCCATGTAAGTTTCCTTCTTTTCTTGCTAAAATAATTAACTGGTTACTATGTTTGCTAGGGGTATGCGTGGCAAGCATAATTTTTATGCCTTGGCTATAATTTTTATGTCCATTCTAATTTGATATTTGAACAAATGAACCCCTTTTTCGATGACATAAAATTCCAAAAATATTTGGGGCCTTCGTTGATTTATTTATGGACCCTTCGCACCTTTTTTTTTTCTCTATGTTTAAGGAGTCTCAGATCATAGAATCTTCGTTGACCAGTTAGGGTTCCTAATAACCATAATACTAGGTGGCGACTCCTTAAACAAAGAATATCCTCATTAAAGAATAGGATGCTAGAAATCCGTTCTTTCCAAAGGTGTAATAAATTTTTAATCGGTCGCCGCGATGTACGGGTGTGGCAGAATGGCAACTCCACTAGGGACTTTAGGACTAGGCTTTGCTATTTGTCTTTTTTATTGCTAAACAGTTTTTGTCATACCGTTTTTTCTTCCTTGTTGTGGTTATGTTAAGTTTATCATGTTTTATTTGTTTTTGCTCTTTTTTTGTTTTAACATGCATAGTTATTCATGTTTATCATGCATATATATTGGATATGGATCTAAGATCTTCACGCATCACTTATCTCATTTTTTATGTGTGGTATCAACTTTAAGATAAGTGGAGGAGTAACGGCACCCCAATGGCTTTAGCCTGGGTAAGGCTCACGAAACTATCCAACTCTCGCATGATTGTTTGCTCGATAGTGGTTGATATGCCGAACTGATATTACTTAGGGCCTCTATCTTCACACTGCTTGTAAACCTCATATCAACCTTTTGAAGGCGATTACTGAGCATGCAAAAGACCTTTGAGACTAGTTAGCAAAATTACCCTAAAGCATTTAATGATTAAAACCTATCCTTTAGGTTGATCCCTGCATAACTTTACTGAGATAAAGCTTAAACGTGTAAGCATCATTATTACAAGGCTTTTGGGTGACATAATGACCGTTATTCCTAAGACAACAACTGTTGAGCATGAACTCAAGTCTGAATCCTTGCAAATGACGAGGGAGATTGCTCTATACTGGATGTGGGTGAGATACCGCTACTTAAAGACATTAGATGCTTAGTGAAAGACACCAAGAATATGGCTGAAAGCTCAGATGACAAAACGCTAAACAGATCTCCTCTCGGGATTGCAATGAATATCATATTCGAATCCGACCACACATTTAAAGAATATCGATCATTAAGTCACCTTTTAAAAGACAAGTCCATACCCAATATGTTGTATTCATCTTCATGCATATTTGAATATACAATTATGACCTGTCATAATACTGCACTCCAGGTGAAATATAGGTTCCCTATTGAAACACACTTGTAACACTTGATTGCGAAAAAAAGACAAATGAAAAATGAAGAAAAAGCCTAGTTGGAAGCCCAACATCGAAAAGAGATGGAAAGTCTTAGAGAAGAAGTCACAAAGCTTACTAGCCTACTCAAATAGGTCTTGAGATCTAAACAAGAAGAAGCAAAATCTACAACTTAGCCTGAACCTATGCTTGGAAATCCATAGAATCTAGGGGCAAATGAGGTGTCTCAACAGGCTATGTATTCCCAATTTGCTTAACTAGCATATCCCATAAGCATGTCATCCACCATTGACCTTATAATAAAGGAATCTCAAAAGAACAAGATAGTAAAAGAAGATGGCCTGGATAAATAGGCTGCCCTAGAACAAAGGCTGAGGGCATTTGAGGGAACTAGTTTACATGACCATATAAAAACTGTTGAGATGTGTTTGGTACCTAACGTAGTCATTCCTAGGAAGTTTAAGGTGCCAGAATTCATCAAATATATAGGAACTCAATGCCTTGCAACTCATCTCAAAGCATACTGTAATAAAATGGCTGAGGTAGTCTATGAAGAGAAACTGTTGATTCACTTCTTTCAAGGCAATTTGAGTGACATGCCTTTACTTGGTATATGCGGTTGGATAATACCAAGGTAAAGAAGTGTCATGCCTCGTAACTGCCTATAATGCTGGGAAAATCCAAGATTTTAGTTTGACTAGTTAGGGATAAGGAGTAGGGTTTCTGTTATTTGTGCAGAACAGTTACTGGGTTGTAAACTTCTAAATATTTCGGTTTGCATTTGTGCAAGAAGCTTTACATTACACTCTTTGCTCCAAGAAATCTTTTTTAACTCTGTGTTGTTTGAAATGAGAGACTTGTTGAAAGAAGTGTTACTGGTGATTGCATTGTTGAATTTATAAGGTCTGAATTGTATAACAGGGCAAACCGGGTGTCAAGATTTATACGAAATTTTATGCAGAAGAAAAGGAAGTGTCTAATGGTGTCCTAGCAATCTGTGTTTCAAAACTGGTTGCCCTGCCATACCTTTCTCTGGCTAGCATACTGTTTGTGAGTTCTTCCTGGCCCATTTGATTCCTATGTTTCATGTGTGGGACTTAAGTTTAATTTTATAATGGAGATCTTTGGGATACAGATGTGACATAATATTTATCATGTGGATCATGTTTTGAAATAGTCATACCTGTAAAATGGCTTTTAGAGTTAAAAGTTCTGGTTATTTTGGTGTCTCTAAAGCAGGGATTGAGTTATGGAGGTGTTCAAAGTCAACTGGGTACTTCAGGAACTGGTTGAACAGTTTCTAATGCCCTACCTATTCCAAGATCGATACTTTTCTCATCCTTCATTTTTCCATATAATCTGAATGTAAGATCATGGTACATAGTGAATTGTTTCATGCCGTAAGCTATCTCAAGAGATTTTTTTTAGCTTTTTCTGGGCCCTATGATAAGAAATTGGGTTGCATTGAATTGATCTGTTCAAAATTTGGATTCAATAGAAAGTCATAGTAGAGAAAGCTCATAGCAGAATTTACTTATCTCTTAAAATGCAAACAATGATTATTCTAGGGAGAGCAATCATCTACCTTGTTTTTCTGATATGTTAATCTATTTATCTTGTTCCAATTTAGGCATCCGTGGGAGAATTATTCTGTACAAAGGGAACAATTTCTTGCTTAGTGGACTTAATATTCATGTTGCCTTTAGACCCCCTCAAGTAGTGGCAACCAAGGTTGATTTTCAGCATTCCTTGTGGGTACATATCCTACCTTTTTTTTTTCCTTTTTGTCAAACTGTCAATGAAGCAGCTGTCTTCTCAGTTCATTATATGTTTGAGCAGGTTTATGCATGCCAATTGTAGAATTGTTTCAAGCTTGATTTTGTAAATATATTGTGTTCATGATTCTGAGGTTTTTTATTTATTGGCTTGAGATCAAATGCAGTACCTTGGCGAAGCATGCTGAAAGGAGCAGCGATAGATTTCAGTCCACTAACCGCTTGGGGCGTTCTTGATGGAAGTGGTGAGTACCTTTTAGGATTTCAGTCCTTGAACTAGATTTCTTACTTCATTATTCTGTATAGAAGTTATCTTACAACTAACCACTTTGCAAGACTTGTCATTCATTTCTAGATTTTTCAGTCCTTGAACTAGATTTCTTACTTCATTATTCTGTATGGAAGTTATCTTACAACTAACCACTTTGCAAGACTTGTCATTCATTTCTAGATTTTTCAGTCCTTGAACTAGATTTCTTACTTCATTATTCTGTATGGAAGTTATCTTACAACTAACCACTTTGCAAGACTTGTCATTCATTTCTAGATTTTTCAGTCCTTGAACTAGATTTCTTACTTCATTATTCTGTATGGAAGTTATCTTACAACTAACCACTTTGCAAGACTTGTCATTCATTTCTAGATTTTTCAGTAACACAAACACGCCCCCTCCCACTTAACAACCATTGTCAAATACTGCTCTTTAGCCATGCGCCCCCCACCCCCCCGCGGCCCACAGAAGTTGTCAAGAATATCATTTACTTTCCAATTCCATTATTTGTGCAGTACTATGGTTCAATATTATAGTGGTAATCTTTGCATTGCTATAGCTAGGATGTTGTGTTTTAAATAAAAGCCAAAGCACAAGTTTCTCTTGAGGAAATGAAGACGAAACCTCTTTGATATGCATTTGAAAAGTCTTTCTGCAAATTTTAAGGTCAACCAGACATCCATAAAACTCTTACTAAATGCGTCACTTATTATAAGAAAATGGACGTGTCTTGCAAGTTACATGGTTGTGCAGGGCTATGGTCCTTTGTAAAGGAATTGAGTTTCTCATGACCAAAAAGAACACACGGACTTTTCTTTTGTTGGCCTTACCATTGCATGCTTGGTGACTATCTAATATATTATCATCACTTTTATCTCACTAAATTCTACAAAAAAAAGAAAAAAGGCTTGCAATGGATGTCATAAATCACTTAATAGCTGCTTCTTGCTGGCAAAACATTCATGCTGTTCCACAACACGGGGCTGTCTTTGGGATAAGGTTAGTTGATGGTTATGGAGCACCTTGATCTAAGGATGGAACGAAGGTATATTTATGTTATTGTAATGATCCTTGTAACTTCATGTATACTTGCATTGATGGATAACGTGCTAGGAAACAGAAAAACATGTACAGATGAATAAGGGTTGGTTTAGGCTTAAAACATGCTAAATTTTCAAGAAAAACATGAAAGTTATGCTAATTGAGGCCTCCTTTTTCTTGTGGATAAAAGAACAAATTCCAAAAATCTGGAGAAGACATCCAAAAGAGAAGAATAAGAGAGAGCACCAAAGGCAATGTATAAGAGCACCTAAATTCCATTAAGACCCTATTCTATTCTATACTGTTCTCTGTACAATATCTTGGTACTCTGCTGAGTACTCCTAATCTGAGTGCATTTAACATGGATTCCTCATGAAATTGACAGATTGGTGAATCCAATCAGCTATCAGATTAGCTTATATTGAGATTTGCATGGTTTGTACAAGAGAGTGGAATTAACAAGTGACTTTTAGTGTTCTTAAATTGACTACTCAAAAGTGCCCATATATTATTGAAAAGCATTTTTCATCGGATTATGTTATTTGAGCTGAAAATTAAAAGAAGACATTCACAGAAATCAGCTGCTACAAGTCTCCACTCACTGACAAACAGTAAGGCAGGCAGTTCCACCATCTAGATTTTGTGGCACAGCCCTCCATTCCCAACTCTCTCGCAACCAGTTTACTGGTGCTAATGGTAGTTTTAGGAAAGCATGCATATAAGTGTTTCTTTTAGTGCTAAAACCTATTATTGGATTGTAAATTTTGTCCTAAAAAAATGCTTCCTGTAACAATGCAAATTCCATTTGCTTTTAGCTGACACTGAACCTGACCCTGTTATCAATGCCCAAGTTTCAACTCACCCATTGTTTTTGTTCATTTCAGTTCATTTCACTCAAAGAAATGGAAGCATTAGTTTGCTTGAGGGGGCATTTCGACTGGCATCCTTGAACTATATGCTGTCTCATAGTAATGCCTTAGCCCTACCCTTGCTTTCCTTTTGTGTCATTTCAGTAATAGGATTTCTTGAACTACTCATTGAAGATGGTCACTTAAAGGGATTGAAGCATAGCTTGTGTGAGGGGGCATTCCTAGTGGTGTCCTTGATCTGTAAAATTGTCATCATGATAGCAACTTGAATACAAAGTTTTCAAAGATATGATATCTTAATAGCAGTGCTCGGTTCCATCTTATGATACTGACTGGGACTTTAGAGATCATTGATCTTTATTGATGTTCAATCTCTGCTTGATTTAAAACTTGAATAGAAAGTATTTCTGAGCTTGGCTGGTCAGGGGCAATAATCCTTATGGCACTAGCATTGGTTTGGTGGTGTCCATGCACATCTTGATGTATCTTATGGGAAAGATATAGTAGGTTTGCAATCATTCCTTAAGTAGCTATCACTCGGTAACATGTCCTGCCTCGTACTCACTTGTTCTTTGTTTATGTGACAGATGTATTTACATCAAGGTCGAGAAGCAGCCTATATAGAGTGTGACATGTCACGGTACAGGTTATTCAGGCAACCTGGAAGAATTTTTGAAAATTTTGATTGATGATGGCTCCAAGATTGCATCAATATTATCTCAAGGCAGTAGCAGATCAAGGGCTGATTGCAGTCGGCAAGCGCTTGTGCATATTACAACTGTTAAATGAACCATCCTTGTCAACCCCTCCCTCCATGAACATTTAGTGTATGTAATTATCTTGGGGACAGTTGATGTTAACATTTTTAAGGATTCTCAAAAGCATGCAACATACACCGGCTAAGGACAATTTATGTTTTCCCTTCACTTTGTTACTTCTCTCTAATTATCTGAATGGTCGTGCAGTTTGGATTTATTGCTTTAGTACTGTTGATATTTGAAGTTCTATTGTCAATCTATTAACCCCATATGTCTCCTGGTCTAGCATGAATGTCACTCAGTTTCTCATGAACACCGTTGGTGTCATGGTTCCATCAATTTCCTATAGAATAAGGTTGATGTGGTTAAATCTCCTTGTGTTTGTAAGTGGTGTTCGTCCTCTTGTTTACACCTAAATACGTAGTTGCTACAAGATTTCTAAAAGATACAGAATGATGAGAGCTGCATGGAGAAGATTGCAAACACAAATACTAGGGTTTCATTGATCTGACACTGATGTTACCTGTTTTCCACTCCTCTTTGAAGTGCTTTATGTAGTCTATCGTCGGTCAGTCTCTCCCGGGTCATTGTCGATGTTGAAGCAAATTACAGTTTACTTTTAGCAGCACTATCTCCAAATTGATCTGCTCTATCTTTTAGTTTCTGCAGATAAAAACAATTCAGAAAAAGAACTGATTGCTTTATCATAAAACTTTTAATATTGTCCAGAGAACTTTCTGCATTTGCAGATGATAAATAACTGAACAGCTTTCGGCGATGCTTTTGAAATTACCTCTTTGCACGTTAAGCTCCTTTTCTTCTTTTTCAGGGGAAAGGCTAGAAATGCTGCAAGAGTTGTGGAAGTCTGATGCTTGTCGAGATAGAATCAGCTGGTAGGGCTTTGTGGTGGCCTTGCTGTCTCTTGAAATAAGATAACATGGGCGGACCAGACCATCTTCTTCCCAGTTATCTCATTGTGCACTGTTATTATAACCTTTAATTATGTATTTATTTCTTTTTTTAAGATAGCTTCAATGAGTAAGTTTTTTCTTATTGTTGTTGAAAACTCATAACCAATTGATAGCAATTACATTACAAAAAACACAAGAATAGATACTTTGCACGCATCATTACAGTTAAGTTTTGATCTCGGTACATTATCAATGCATGACATGTATGATCATCAAGACGAAGAAAACAAGCTAGATCTACATAATAAAATTGAAATTGATGAATTAATGGAGGCATGTACATCCTCCTACCAAAACTCTACTTTTCCTACTCTATAAATTACTAGAACATGCCCTTTGTTGGCTCATCAGTTTCCATCTAACATCATCACCACTATGTTTTTTTCTAATTAACATGGTTATCCAAATTAATTTAATACATCTCATCATTTAATTTTATAAGCTCTAAAATTAATGATGATGTAAATCTCCAATGATCTTGAAATTTATAAGATTCAAAATAATAATTTTTAAAAAATAAATTTAAAACATAAATAATTAAACTATATTCCTTAAAATTAATATCATAACTATTATTATTAATAATAATAATATAATAATAATGGTGGTGATCTTCTTCATCTGTCTAGACTTTGTACCTTGAGAATCAAAATCCAAGAAGATAATTAAATAGCAATGAACGTAAGCAAAACACTAAACTCCCATCAGCACCTTATCTTGGAGGAGGAGATTAATGCCTGTAGGTATGAGCTCATACGAGATTGAACTTTATAAAGGTTCCCTCGTACGTTTGAGGTCAGCTTTTGACTTCTGAGGACTTCTTTCTTAATTTTTTTCACTGTATTTTTTTTTTTTTTTTTTTTTTTTTTTTTTTGCTTTTTGGTTGTCTAAAGAAAGATAGTGTTTTTTTCCCTCACTTTTTTTTCCACAAATTGATAGATATGAAGAGTTGAGCTTTGTGGATAAGTCAGTCAGTCAATATTCTGAGCCTTTATGATCATCTACTAATCGCAAAACCATGAAGTCTACTGCTTGAATCAATGAGAAATATGTACCAAAAATATAAAATTCACTGCGGCACTAGAGAGAGTGTAATGTGTATTGCCTTGACCTTCATCAAATTAGCTAAGAAGAAGACTAAACTCGGGATAAATTGGTTTTTTTTCATGTGATTTATTTATTATTTTTGTTTTAAATAGAAGCATAAGGTTTTTTTTTATTTTAGAAAAGTAAAATACTTTTGTTGCCCTTAAAAAAACCTTCATAACATGAAGCGTTATCCAATTATTAATATTTTTTTTATCGTGTTAATTGATTGTCCACGACATTCTTTTTCTCTATTAAAAATATGTGTTGACTTGTAATAAATAAATTATCATTAAAGTTGTTTTTTTTTATTATTTCTTGGAAATTAATGTGTGGTGCTGAAAATTTATTGTTGTCCCATTGGTAGTGAATATTTGAATACCATTCCTCATTATTTTGAATTTTTAATGTGTGTCATTGGGATTTTTATGTGTAAGTTTTTATTCAATTGGATCATTTAATCTAAATTTTTTATTTTTTATTAATTTTTTTAATAAATTTTTAATTATTTTCAATTTCATCTTTCAACTAAAATTTTAAATTTTTTACTTTTTGAGTGGATTCTTATTTTTTTTAATTATTTTTTTTCTATGACAAATATTTTTATTTTAATAGGCGTGCTCCATGTACAAAAAGTATGGAGCACGTCTAACTATTTAAGTTTATCAAAATTTCATTTTGTTGTGGCAGGCCAGCCAGCTTTACGTACCGCCCCTGCACTGAAAACTATGCTACTATTACTTTTCTTATCTTTTTTTATGAGATATATACTTTTCTATTAAAATATTGTTTTTGTAAGCTTGATTATTAATTTTATATTTTATTTTTTTATTTTGTATTTTAATTTTTAAGAAAGTTAAGAATATTGATTATGTTTGAAAATATAATTTCATTTATTTTTTAAAATATTTTTTATTCACAAATATATTAAAATAATATTATTTTATTTTTAATATTAGTACATTAAAATATCTAAAAATATTAATAAATATATTAATAAAAAATAAAAAAAATATTTTTTAAAATATTTTTAAAACACAAAAACAAACATAATACGTCAATTGAAAATATATCTTCCTTCCACACTCTCTATTAAATTTTTATAAATATTAATTATAAAATTCAATTAAAAAAAAGAACAAACCCTAATCGGTTTTATTTTATAAAAACTTAGTATTGTTTGGTTTTATTTTAAATTAATTTAAAGATTAATTTGATTAAATTTAAATTAAATTAATCTAATTAAATTTAATTAATAATATTATTAATTTCACTTAAAAAAACAAAACAATATCTTTTAACAAACTCAGTTCTAATAACTATACTCCAACCCTCCAATTTGAAGTGTAGTTTTTAATTTACATAAAATTCTTTGCAAATTAATCTTTAAGCAAGCTATGAAAAACACTTGCAGACAATGTGGGCTAGAATATCGTGGACCACATGAATGGAATCACCATATAATTAAATCATATTTTTTAAAAGAAAAAAAAAAAAGACTTGAGGCAAAGGCATATGTACAGTTTCTCCCATGATTGGATGGAGAAACAGCAGCCTCACCGCTGTCCTCTTGTTTAATCATTTGTATGGAATAATATGATTTTAGATACCATTTAATTTTGGTTTTATATATGCAACATTAAAACCTTCTTTTATAATATCCATTAATGGATTGTCAATAGCAATTTAAGAAATATGTGTGATAGCTATGTTCTCTAATCAAGTCATTAATTAAATGTTTCCTTTTTAATTTAAATTCTCCAAAAAAAATATCAAATTAAACTAGTCTTGTAGCATTCAAGGTATGTGAAGATAGCACCTAAGCTTAGATTAGCAAAAATGAATAAAGAGAAGGCTTGTTTGATTTTGTATTAGCTTGTGTAATTTTTTAAGTGTTTTTAAAATTAATTTTTATATAAAAATATATTAATTTAATGATTTTAAATAATTTTTTTATTAATATTAGTATCCAACTCAGTTTGTACTCACCTCAACTAATTTTATAATTCTAAAATTAACTTTAATATAAATTTCTAATCATCATCATATTAATAACTATAAAATTTGAATTTAAAACTCTACGAGGAGCAAATCTTTTTCTAATGATTTTAGATATTATTTAATAATTTTAATATATTAATATCAAAATTAAAAAAAATATATTTTAATATATTTTTAATTAAAAAACTTATTACCAAACACTTACCGTCTTAGATTCAAATGTTTTCTTGTTCCAAGCTTCCATATTATTATTGAAATATCAAACATGATCTATTAACATTTGTTTATAAAAATAATTTAACTTATATAATTTTTTTATAAATACATTTTTTACTACTGTAAAATAAAAAGAGAACATGATTTATTCATATATTAAGTTCATTTATCATGTTTTATGCTGAGTTTTCATGTCAGTCGTCCTCTCTCTATCTCTCTTTCGCTATGTTTCTTTCTTTTTGCTTTATGTCATGCCTTTTTTTCTTAAGTACAGTGATGCAAAAATGTACTTGACAGCTTTAATAAAACTTCATCAAACTTTAATGGGACTTGCAAGCTTTAACCTATAGTCGGGTCTAATTTAATTTTTAAGTCTCTGCTACCTAACAATATTCCTGTGTGCTGACATGAAGTTGCCTCTTTAATTAATTACTACTATGATTAATTATAAATATTCCACGAGCCTGGGTCATGGTCTAACACATGAATTTCAACAAAGCTGAGAAGGATTGAATTGACATAAAAACATTAAGAATTAAGAAGATTGTGAAAGAAACATTTTCATGTACTTGAATGTCTTTTTTGACTTCGGAAATTTAATGTTTAATTATTTTCTTAAAAAAAAGTGGATGATGCATGGTTGCTTAATGAATATTATAAGACAAGCTATGCTTAATTTTTATAATACAAATCCTGAAAGCAGTTTTTAATGAATTTCTTTTAGATGTGTTAGCCTGATTAGTATGATGTAGAGAATATATCTTTAATATAGCTTAAAAATAAATATAATATTATTTATATATAAACTAGTTCGAAAATATCTTTTGTTTTTTTAATTATAAGTTAAGAAAAAAGTTTTTAAAATATTTTGTTACCCCACCCTGCAATAAGCTAGCAGATGACCACTGTTAGGAGGTTATGTATTAATTTCTTTTACTTTTCCCGAACCTTAAACGATGGCAATTGTGATTTTTGTATTTTTTTAGTATTTTTTAATAATTTTAATGTGCTAATTTTAAAAATAAATAAAAAATTATTTTAATATATTTTCAAATAAAAAATATTTTTGTAAAGCATTATATATAATGTTAGACAGTAATATAAATTATATATTATAATCTCATTTAATAGCTTAAGTTTTTAGGTGAAATAGTTTTTTAACATAATATTATAATTTTGTTGATCAAACGATTTTAATTTTAAATTTTACCATCTCTATTGTATTTGTTAAAAAATAAGTATAAGATAATATGGATCATAACAATCAATTAAAAAAACCCAAATGATATTATATTATGTATATGCTAATTACCTTAAATAAATACATTTTAATAGCTGCCATTAGTCATTCATTAATCAAGAGTAGTTAGTTTAGTCTACTAATATACTAATAAAAAAGTTGGAGCTCTACAAGAATGACCTAATTCTACAATAATATATAAGTGATGATAATTGATCTGAGATTGTGGGTCTATGAATTGTAGTGCTCAAGTTCAAGCTCCTCAATTCCTAAGCCAATAATTAAGAAAAGGTAGATGCATCCATGTAGAATGGAATTAACATTTTTTTTCTGTTATATATATATTGCATCATGCTGAGCATGAATATTCATCATCATTATCAGTATACTATATATCAATAATTATATTAATGACTCACAGTAATGATATATATTAAATGACAAAAGGTGCAAAAAGTTTTCGGCAAATGAAAGACTTTTGAGTATCAGTTGATTTAGTTAGAATCAAGTCGCATTAAAGTCACAATTATTTAGTCTATTTTTCAAGTGCTGCTACTTTTATCATAATCTTCTTGTTTGTGCTAACTGAAAAAAATTATTCTTTGTTATTTTCCCTTTAACACTACTCAGTTGCTATTGAACAATTATGAGGATTCCATCGGGCTATTTTATTTCTGAGAATAAATGTCTTATTCCTTGCCAAAACCATGAATGATTGCCAATTAACTACTGAGATGATACTGACCTAATTAATATTTTCCCGGCATTTAAATATGGTCTAGTGTTCGCTGTCCTTATTAATAATTAGTTTTTTTTTTCCATTGATTAGCATTTCAAAAATAGAAAATACAGATAAAAAAAAAAAGATAGAAATGTGTTCTGCAATGAGGATGTTGTTTCGAAATGATACTTTAGCAAGCTTCTTGTGAAGATCATGATCTTACATGTTGTGTTCTGCTCTCTCTATGGTGCTTTCTTTATGTTGTTGGTTTCGTTGAGCTTTGCTGCTGTGGGAGTTTCTGAAGTTTCCTGTTTTGCTAACATGGTTCTAGAGACCTTTACTTCTGTCTAGTTTCAGCCTCTGTTTTCTCTATCTCGATAGTTTGATTAGGTTAGGTTAAAGCTGCTTGATGTAATTAGAGCATCTTTTTAGTTTTTGCTCTAATTTTGTAAGCCAACTTTCTATCTCCTTGCCTACTTTAGCTATAATATATGGCTTATAAAAAATAAAAATAAAAAGAGAGACATAAAATATAATTTTAAAGTGAAATTTTATACCTGCAAAACAAGAAATTCAAGAAAGTATGTTTTTTTTATTCTTATTGTCTTCGTCTTTTCTATCCTAAGACTATAACTAGTCGCTGGACTTTTAGGTTAAAAAAACTAATATAGCTTTATGCTACGCTTATTACTGTTATGGTGGCCAAATTGGACCACTAGACTAGCAAAATAGGTTATTGGAACAAGGGGATTGCTTGTTCAGATGGTATGACTAGAAAGCGTCTACTTGCACCTTTAATTAGCAGTCCTCTTGATCAAAATATAAAGCTGTACCTGGCCAAAAGTTCCTGGTAAATTTTTTGTCTATTTTCTTGTAGGATACTATGATTTTCCACCACAGAACATCCTTATGATTTCTGAAAAGTGCTTAAGTTTTCATCAGGAGATCGCATCATTTGAAGGTAAATAGTAGAATAGTTTGATGTTCTTAACAATATTGTATTAAACTCATAATGTTTCTTGTACTCTACCCATAGGCCATGAACAAAACAACATAATTGTGTTCAGATACTAAGGAACAAAAATTTTAACCTTAATTTCTAGTGATAACATAGAGGTTGCATAGGTAAACCATGCACCTAGTAATCACCATAGAGTTTAGCTTAAAACAAATTAAAATACATATAAGAATATTTCAAATATAATACACGAGAAATTATTCACATTAACAAAATAGGATGACTATGACCCCCCACCCCAAGATATAATTATACTATGGATATTTATATCAATATAGCTTTGTACTTGGCCGTGTCTGAACTCAAATGAAATTTGAGTTTAGCAAAGGTTCTGCCTCTAGAGTCAAAGGGGGCCTCGCCGATCACCCATGGACATAACTCTCTTCAGTCCAAAAGACACACTGACACACTTCTTTCCTTCCCACCAGCAAAGCAATGATCAAGTAGCAGCTATAGACATGCAAAGCAATAGCAGCAACAACAACAATAATCACCCTCAAACTAGCCATACATCAACAAGCCGGTCTTCGGACTCCGGTGAGGCCTGTGGAGGAGGAAACAAGTGGGCATCAAAGCTTCTTAGTGAGTGTGCAAGAGCAATCTCAGACAAGGACTCTAGCAAGATCCACCATCTTCTATGGATGTTAAATGAGCTTGCCTCTCCTTATGGAGATTGTGATCAGAAATTGGCATCTTATTTCTTGCAAGCTCTATTCTGCAAGGCTACCGAGTCTGGTCAACGGTGTTTCAAAACCCTAACAACAGTAGCTGAAAAGAGCCACTCCTTTGATTCAGCTAGGAAATTGATACTAAAATTCCAAGAGGTAAGCCCGTGGACTACTTTCGGTCATGTAGCTTCAAATGGTGCAATTTTGGAGGCCTTAGATGGGGAAAGCAAACTTCACATAATTGATATCAGCAATACCCTTTGCACACAGTGGCCTACTTTGCTAGAAGCTTTAGCCACAAGAAATGATGAGACGCCGCGATTAAAGCTCACCGTTGTGGTAACTGCTAGCATTGTAAGATCAGTCATGAAAGAAATAGGCCAAAGAATGGAGAAGTTTGCTAGGTTAATGGGAGTGCCCTTTGAGTTCAAAGTAATTAGTGTGCTAAATCATGTAGGAGAGCTCACAAAGGAAGGACTGGGTGTTCAAGAAGATGAAGCAGTTGCGATTAATTGCATTGGGGCATTGAGAAGAGTTGAAGTGGATGAAAGAAGTTCTGTAATCCAGTTGTTCCAATCACTTAACCCTCGAGTTGTGACAATTGTTGAGGAAGAAGCTGATTTTACTAGCTCAAGATATGACTTCGTCAAGTGCTTTGAAGAGTGCCTGAGGTATTATACACTGTATTTTGAGATGCTAGAGGAGAGCTTTGTCCCAACTAGTAATGAGAGATTGATGTTGGAGAGGGAATGTTCAAGGAACATAGTTAGGGTTTTGGCTTGTGATGAAGAAACTGGTGGAGGAGAGTGTGAAAGAAGAGAGCGGGGTGTCCAATGGTCTGAAAGGTTAAGGGAGGCATTTTCCCCTGTTGGATTCAGTGATGATGTTGTCGATGATGTCAAGGCATTGCTTAAGAGATACAAAGCTGGGTGGGCACTTGTGCTCCCTCAAGGAGATCATGAGTCAGGAATTTACTTAACATGGAAAGAGGAACCTGTAGTTTGGGCTTCTGCATGGAAACCCTAAAAGTGTTGTGGCCAGAACACCATCTCTATGCTCAAATTCAAGGCTCAGCATGGCAATTTATTCACAAGATGGGAACAGCGCGCCATGAACACATATTGATAATTAATTATAGAGTACTACTACTTTCACTTTTCATTTCTTCTTCTTATTCATGCATATTTGTATCTTATGCACTCCACCTTTTCTTTTCCTATGTTATATGCTTGGGAGTTTGTGTTGCTTTTCAACAACTCTAGATAATTGTATTTGTTTGAAGGTGTTTGCACTTGTGCCTCTTTTTTGCAGTTCCATGGCATCCCTTTCCCTTTTGGCTTGCCTCCTCAATATCTTTCTCTGCATCCCATAGTGGGCAATTTGTAAGAAACATTAGCAATCCATGTATTCATAGAAGGTGGTGATTTAATCATATCCATCATATGATCAAGTTTCTATCCATCCAAGAATAGCAGTTCCTATAAAAAAGAATTTCCTGTTAGTCCCTTCCTTTATGTCCTAATGTATATTGACAAATCCTAAGTGGATTGTTTGTATAATTAAATTAGCTCATAACAGGTAAGCTCAAATATGCATGGGAAGAGTTTGGTGTGTAACTTATGTATTATTGCTGTCCTTGTTTTCATCTTGCTGCAATTCCCATGGCAACACAAGAAACAAATTATGTAGAAGATCCTTCTTCAGCTCTTATTTGAATATTTAATGTCTACCAAAACCTGGCTCGGTGGTGATGTGCATGCCTGACTCATTAAAAATTAATTTGGGAATTCATTGTTGATTGCGGGCGGCCTGCAAGAGCACCCATTTATTAATGCCTAAGCCTCTGATCTATATATGGATTTGATTTTTTTTTTTTAATGAAAAGATAAATGTTTGATTGTTTTATATTTTATTTTTAAAAAAGAAATGCTAAAATTCAAGATCTCTAGAAGTGCTCGTTTGATACTTTAGCAGTTTCTGTTTTCTAAAATATTTTTTAAATTATTTTTTACTTTAAAAAAAACTTAAAAATAATATATTTTCATAAACTATTTGATGGTTTTGACATAATAACATCAAAAATTAAAACATATATATATATATATATTAAAACACTTTACACAATATTACTAAACACACATAGTCTAATGGAAAAGGATGGTCCCTCGTTATATAGCTTTAAGACCCAACAAACCTTCTAATGAACAAAGAAAGTAAGCTACAAGTCAATCGGTTTTAAGTATGTTACTTGAGGTATTAGATTAAATACCTAAATGAATTATTATTATTATTATTATTATTATCCATTTTTTGCGCATTAGGGTTAAATAACAATGTGATTAAGTTTTAAATAAATGACATCATGATAACGAATCCATTTACCCTATAGTTTATTGGGTCCAAAAAAGATTAAACTAATTGAACTTATTTGCATGGTGGCAATGAGCATATCCCTACATCACCAATTTGGAGAGTAGCTAGGAGATGACATTTTCAATGATGCATGAATGAACTTAATTTATTAAATTATTTGTCCCAAAATCAACACAAGAATCTTCTCTTCCCTGTGATGATATTTGATGCTATATGGCTAGCATGATTGCCAATTGATTAATTAGAAAATTTCTTAAGCAACACAGGTTATTTTATTGGCAAGTAGATGATACGTGCTTGTCAATCTAATGAGAATTAAACCAGAAATACTATACTAATTAGATATTTCACCAGCTATGCAAAGAATGGCAGTGTGTGGCCGCAGTCCCTTGATCATCTAAATTAGGTCAATTTTTTTTAATTTCATGTCACTCTTAACCTAATCTGTTGCTTGGATTTTCGATATGCATATCATAAAGGAATTATACATCGGTAATTAAGCACATAGACACGAGAAAGGGAGAAAAGCAGGAAAGGGTAAACGGATGCATCTATCTCTTCTTCTATATTGTAAGGATTGGTAATTATAGACTGAAGATCATTAAAAAAATAAAATAAAAATTCTTATCATTTAATGCAAAAGGGTAAGACGGGGGTTCTGTTCTTTTCAGAGAACCATTTTCCTTTGTTATTTTCTGTATGATGGGTCACAAAAATGAAGAGAAACTGTGCTATTGGAAAAGGGATAAAAGAGAGGACATGTTTGTGAGGAAATATATGCATAAATTGACATAAAGAAAAGGAAAAGGGACCAGGAAGAGACCTTGGTGGCAAACAGATGAGAACCAAGCAGATCCCATGTTTGCTTTTATGTCTAGTGATTTGAATAGCATATTTGCCTTTAAATTGCCATACTTTGTGTACAGACTTTAGGCCAACATTATATAGTGGAAAACAACTTTTCTTGATTGAAGATGGCTAGGACCTCTGCTATTCTTCACCTACAACTACTCTCTTCAAGAACCCATTCACACAAATACACTTGCCGTCAAACACGCTTGGACACATAATAAGAACCCTTCTTTCCTCTTCTTCAAATAATTTGCTTGCTACACTGCTATTGACTGACTTGATGGATGGATAAGTTCGGTTACTTCTTGTTGATTTGACCCGACACTTTATGTAAATTAACTATTAAATTAAATTATACGATAATTAACTAAAATCAAATTACTCAAAGTATAATTTGATTTTAAAAAAAAATTAAATAATATCTTTACTTTAAAAAAAATCTTGAAATTATACCTTTTTGGATTGACATAGTTTTAACCTAAAACTAAAACTTAAATCAAAATCAAGTCATAGGAAGAAATAGGTTTAATAGCTTTGGTTTATTGATCTTGTGTGTTGGTTCTCTTAGCTAGATGCTTGGGTTAGAATCTTTGTCATGGAAATTTGGTATTATAATCTTGAAATTATACCTTTTTATGATTGTAATTTGAAAAAAAATATTTTTTATTGATATTGGTTTGGTATTTATATATGTTTGGTTCAAATTGTGGTTGAATAAAAAGTAATTTAATTTATTTGATTAAGAATGTTTTTCAAATTAAGGTTATAAAATAATTTTAAAAAATATATATTAATATTGATGGTTTCTAATTTAAATATTGTAGATTTAACTACTATTATTATATCATGAAATAAATAATATTTTATATATAATATTTTTTATTGTTCCATTAAATTATCTACAATTCCATCACGTATGAAATACATCTGACAAGAACGAAAGTTTTCTTAGTTTTTTAAGCACGCAACAACATTAGATAAAATATAATCCGGAATAAAATTAGAATTGCTATCAAATTCTGCAAATGCTATGTTATTAAATGATCTCCGTCTAGTTTATGAAGTGTTATTGAATAATATTAAGTACTAGTTTTTCGAATAAAACATAATTAAAAATAAAAAAAAATTATTTATTTTTTTTATTTTACTAAGTTGGACATGGTTCAATGTATTTAAGTTTAGACCGAACCCAGTCTGGCCGAAACAATAGAGATATTCTCCATTGTTCACATGAATAGCAACCACACTCTCTATTGTTCAAACACTAGTTTTCTAAATAAAATAAAATTTGATTTAATTTGATTTTTTTATTTTATTGAGTCAGACTCAATTCAATACATTTAACTTTGAATCGGATCTAGTTTGACCGAAGCAGTAGAAACATTCTTCACTGTGAAGATTGTCTTCATTATTCATGTAAATAATATAATCACTTTTCACAGCAACAGAAGAAGCATCATTGTGCTGCTTTTAGTGATCCTCTATTTTCAACATAAATAATAATGGGATTCATAAATAATAAATAGTTTTATTCATTATCAAACATTTGTTTCTTATAATTTGCTTTAAAAGCAAAAATAACCACGAAAACAACACAGGCTCTTAATTAAGACAATAAATATATTCCCATGCGAATTAATCTTGAGTTTTGGTATGGATATTGATTCAATAATGGGAACTTGATAGGTATATTGTATAGGATCAAATGCATGTGATGATCTCTAAAAAAATAGGAATTGCCTGATGCGATAAATATTTATTGTCATAAAATTGATGAATATAAACAAAAACACCTAAAACACCTACAATGCTTTTTTGTTGATGTAATACGGTGACGTTTACCAATTTAATTTTTTTATTATTAAATCAATTGATAACCATTGAAAAAAATATATTATTGGTATATATTAAGGAAATTACAATAAAAATAAAAAAAATAAAAAAATTGTGTAATACAATAACGTGTAAATTTTTACAAAAGCAATTATGTACTGATGTATAATTCATTTGTGAATTATAGAAAATATTATAGTAAGATTTAAAAAAACAAATCATATTACAGAGGAACGGGAATTGCCTAATACAACAATATTTGATCAAATCAATATGAGATATTGTATATTTTTAATAACGTGATCTTAGGGTTTTTTTCATAAGAACAGAATATATTATACATTTGAGATTTTGAGTATCCATGTAAGTTTAATTAGACCATTCTAATACATGCAGATCCAACTGTGGGATTGTGATAGGCTTTTGATACCACTCCTTTTATGGCTTAATTAGCTACCTAATGTCATGAAATCACATTATCTCATGAGTTTGAAGTTTTAACTATAATCACTTTGTCGTGGTTAGTATTTATGATAAAATAATAAAAATGTGTTTAGTTAAAAATATAAAAATAAAAATAAATATGTCTTTGAAATAAATTTTTTAACGTGAGTTTATGTACTTTAAAGAATAAAAAAATATATAAGTTTTTTTATTATTATTATAAAATAATAATAATAATAATAATGTAATGTTATTTTAGTAATACCACTTGCATGTCAAAGAAAAAGCAGCACTGATGGAATCATTCCCTCTCACTTAGTTGATATATAGGGTGAGACTTTTTCATGCCTAGCTAAAGTAGATTACAATTATAGCTCATGTGTGCTATTTCATTTTTGAAACTCTTGATTTATTCTTTCCGAAGAATGTCTCCCTGTCGTGGATACAATGTCGTTTGAACGCTTGGATATTGAAGTTTGAGTAAGACTAATTACCCTGTGAAAATAAAAAATTTGAAAAACTTATTGGAGTTTTACTATATATATATATATATTGTGAAATTGTTTTTTTATTCAATCTTTTTTTTTCAATTTCATTCTCATAATTTTTTAATAATAATATTGATTGTTTTTATACCAATCAAATTAATTATATCATAACAAAACAACTTTTATATGATTTAATTTTAAGTTAGAGTCGGGTTTAGGTTCAAGCTGGGCAATATCCATACCATACCCAAATCCAATCTTTTTACTTTAGGTATTACCTAAACAACAAAAACAATTCCTACCTATGAGGTTTGAGTCGGGTTGATATCCAACGTGTTGAAAAATCATCTCAATTCAAGAGTTTAAGTTGTTAGATAAAGTCACAAAAATAGTTTTATATTACTCTCTAATACATGTCTATTAAATTTAAAACTTGCACAAACTTATACTACCTTATACTTCAATTTAA